CTACAGTCAGCTTTCTTCACACCTCCAAGAAACGCTAATTCCCTGCGACTGTTTGGGACTCGGTGGCAATAACCACGGCTTCTTTTGTGCGACGCTCGCCATGACAAAACACCCTTGTTTGTGCACAGTGCGTGATCTGTGCCAGCCTTCTTGCAGATTACAGTTAGTTAACTCCCTCGGAGCCGCAGGAAACACACCACCTCCGAGACTCAAACAAAACAACTCCAAAAAGCCAACCACACCAACTGAATAGCCCGTCTGCTGCCCAAGAGATATGGCACACAAGGTCACTGTTAAATGCCCCATTAATGACACCGCGGTCATTAAAGGACAGTTTTCCTGTGACAAAAATCACACGGAAAAGCTAGTCCAAATTATCCACGAATGTGAAACCAGCAGCTCAACGGGGAATAAAAGTGCACTCTATTCACATTAGATTAAGCCAAGCATCCACACCAGGTTTTAAACGTATTTTTAATATCTCGTCTCGTATTGTGCAGTATCAGCTGTCCCGAGTGTCCCTGTCCAGAGAATCCTCAAGTTAAAGTTCACTCAATACTTCTTCCCCACGGTATCCCCAGATACGCAGCTGCAGAGGGGGCTGCGGGATGGAGAGTATTTTGGGGCACGGTACCAAAGCCTATGAGGGCAACTCAGAAGGAAAGCTGATGTCCAAACTTAGGAGTTTTCATCCATTATTTCAAGTTTGTGAATGGTCATTTTGGTTTTTAATTTAATGTGCTCAAATATCCGAAAAAACACATTAATGATAAGCTGTAATCCCACCAAATAGATTTCTCTGATGAAAAACCTTTACGCATAATTTTTAGGATTGTCTCACCAATAAATTTCTTTCCTCCTCTTGTGCCCTAACTCGATTATTGTCACACAGACAGGCAGAGCCGTTGAGCTGCCCTGATACTGCATTCCAGGTTTGCAACGTTAAGTTTTCAGCACATTTTAATATTGCCATGATGAGGCAGTGGAGTTCCCCTCCTCTCTGCCGACGGGGTAGAAATCAGGCTAGCCTTACTCCAGCACCCAGCTCTGAAAGTCAGAGATGTTCAGGTGTTCGGGGTAGCAAGTAGGTGGGGATTATTTCACTACAGACACCGGGCAATACCTACTCTTTCAACCAAGATAAAAAAATACCATTTAGTATAATGATTATGCAGGGCAAGAGCTCTGCATATTCTAGATAAGGACTAAAGCATGAGACAGCAGAGTATTTCAAACAGGGAGACACTCCGGCATCCCGCTAGCGCTGCATGCGTGGGCTGCGTTACAGGATGGAAAGGTATGCGGCCGGTGAGCCGAGAAGAAAAATAGCATTAAAGGCACAATTACAACAACCCAAAACTTGTGTTCCTCGCTCCTTTGAGAATGCACAGCTCCAAAAACACTTTGTAAAAAGAAGAAACCAGTCCTTCGCACGTAGGGAAGGCAAGGAGGAGCCGATGAGGGCTCAGGGTAGCACGGAGCTGGTGTGACGGGGACTCTGCAGCCACAGAATGCACAGCTCCAAAAACACTTTGTAAAAAGAAGAAACCAGTCCTTCGCACGTAGGGAAGGCAAGGAGGAGCCGATGAGGGCTCAGGGTAGCACGGAGCTGGTGTGACGGGGACTCTACAGCCGTGGGGCAGGGGTTGGGACGGCATTTTAGGAGAAGAACTGCTGAGTCACGGGAGACAGCCCCAAGTGTCAAACACCTCCTCCCGCGCCGGCTCCCAGCCTTCCGAATCGCTCTTATCTGCTCCTTGCACGATGGCACTGAAATCCCAGGATTTTTCTACAGTTGCACATACCATATTCTACTAACACATACTAGTACGCCCAAAGTACTTTATGCAGTAACAAAAAAACAACCCCACATGGTCCAATTTCTCTCACACATCGCACTACGAAGGCTAAATGACAACCTGAAACACCAGTCATCTCCCAGCTAGGAGCATGTGTCTTAAATGCATATGGAAAAGCCTGAACTGCCACTGAATTTTTCACCTCTCGACTCCAAGCTCAGCATAGGACGATCACTTCACTTTTCCTCCTATGTGCACACATTTTTTCCCCTCCGAAGCCAAGACCCAAATAATGCCTATGCTCTTCCCTCCAATAAAGTGTGGCACTTAATGCCTATTAATGGAAATCTGCATCCTATCTCAATGTTCTTCTAAATCCAGCTTCCAGGCACGACATCTCATTATGTCACTGCCTACAAGCCTTAGACTATTTTTTTTGCAAACAGAAGTTGAATAAGTTTGTGTCCCTAGGGAAAAAAACCCCAAACAATATCATATTTTTGATCCATCTCCCCAGACAGAAGTTCAGCCCTACACCACAAAGCACCGGAGCGTAACGCAACACACCCTACAATTGACTCCAACACCACTGTTTTGTATGCAGTAGAAGTGTTTTTCAACAAGGGAAAGTATATTTATCAGAAACCAGCAAACTTGACAAATGATTAGCAAAGCTTCCGCTCCCCTTTCCCCTCAACAAGTGACAAGCTCCAAGGGAAGTTTTGCTGCAGACCAACATCCTACAGAGAGTCGGGAGGCTCCTTTCCACCTGCATGGAGTGAAGCTCTCTCCACCACGGGCTGCACGAGTCCTGAGCAGAAATGGCTAACCCGTCAGCCTCATGTGAACTTTGCATAATGTTATTGCTTATTTCTTTAACAATATCAAACACTGAGAAGAAATGAGTTTTCCTCTGTATATGGCACCCCCTTTGTATAATCTCGGCCTCAGATGTTTGTCTACCAAGAGCAGTTGTGAAGCTCAAAACATGGAAAAAAACCCTAACCTATCAATCTCATTTATACTACAAGCTACAAATAAAACTCGTCACTGTTCAGCGTTTTCCCCATGGTGAAGATAAACAATGTGTGATCATCTTTAAAATGATAAATACTACAAGGAAAGTAACAGCTACCTAAAAGGAGTCCCTGGGGGATGGCTGTGGAATTGATTCTATATTACACGGTTGCTTAAGCAACGCTCTTTACATCCAAGGGCTGCAGTAAGCTCTAGGCAGGTTTAGTTCAATAGAGTTTGACTTTGCCACGCTGACAGTTCCCATTTCAGAAAATTGAGGAAACGCACGCTGTGCTCAGCGTACTCAAGATGGCAGAGCCAGAAAGTAAGCAGGAGCATACACAGCCAGCC